CAAGCTGTCTCCGTGCCCTCAACGTGGCATGACCTTCCTCGTCAAGCCCGAGTCGCCGTAGGGACCCCAGAGCACGCCTGGCTTTGGTGACCTCGTCTCCTCCCCCCTCTCCCTGGGGCTCGTCGCGTCCTGAGCGGGATGGCCGAGAAGTCGATCGTGGGAGCTTTCGCTGCTGCTGCCGAGACGTTGGCCCTTAGGATCCGACCCGCGGCCCGTGTCTTTGGCCGCAGATGTAGCACCACAGGTTGCTGCAGCCCTGCGAGTGCAGCCGCACTGGCGTACCGCGTCGCACGGCCACTTGGGCCCACGCGCGCCCCCCGCATCATCACGCTGCTGCTGCCTACCCCGTCCGTTTGCCTTCCTCGGCAAGCTCGAACCGTGATGATGTCATAGCAAGCCCATTGTTGGTTCAACTCTGAGGAACGGCTTTGTCTGGCTGCGCCTGCGACGCGAACGCCTGTGCCAAGCGGGAGAACGTGACCGAGTTGCAGATGCCGCGGCTCGTGCCCCATTCCAAAGACAGTTGAGGTCAACCCCCTGTGCTGCCAGATTGACGAAACCCAGCTTGCGCAGTGCTGGAGCCCGCGCGGCACAGGAGCTATCGGGCGCAGGAAGCGCGGGTTGGGGTCGTGGTTGTCGGGTTGTACCTACAGGAACTCCTGGGGTCACAACGCTTGTGGGGAGGAGGAGGAGGAGCGAGAGGAGGAGGTGGAGGATGTGGAGGAGGAGGGAGAGGAGCAGGAGGCGCTGTGGAGAGGAGGCGCGGGGAGAATCAGGAGGAGGAGGAGGAGGAGGAAGGGCCATGTTCTTCTTCAATTGCTTCATATTCTTGTTTTCCCTCATGATCACGATTATCTTCCCTCCCTCGTGTTACTTCTCCAATTCAATCATCCATCTTCCTCGCCGATCCTTCCCCGACTCCGCACGTTCCACCCTCCTCGTCCTCCCTACGCCCCTATCCTGCGTCACCCTCCCTCCCGTCCCTCCCCTCCCCTCCCTCCCTCCCTCCCTCCTCCCTGCCTCCTCCTCGCCTCCCTCCCCCCCTCATCCCTCCACCTTCCGAGTACCGATCCCCCCTGTTCGCGGGGAGGCAGCACCATTACTTCCATCGGCGGCAACAACCTCCTCGGGCTCCCAACGGGGGCAGCAGCGGGGAGGGGCCAAAGGGCATTGACACCTGAATCCCTTCCTCCTCCTCCTCCTCCTCCTCCTCCTCCTCCTCCTCCTCCTCCTCCTCCTCCTCTTCCTCCTCCTCCTCCTCCTCTTGGCACCTGAATCCCGAAGATTCAAATTTGCGGGGAGAGGGGTAACAGGGAAAATCAAGTTGGAGAAACGTGGGCAGGGGGGATGAGAACGGGAATGAGCATGGGAAGGATTGGACGCGGGACGGGCGGGGAGGGGATGCGAGGGAAGCTCGAAAATTGAGGACGCTTCTGCACTTGGTTCAGTGCCCCAGGGGACGGCTGATCCAATAGAGGCCCTCACTAGAACCCATAACGAAATATGCGAGAATCACAGGCCTAGGTATCGTGCATTCTGTGTGTATTCTATCAAAGGTAGCAGCTGTCGTTGCTTTCCCAGGTGGTGATCATGATATCATCTATCCAGCTACCTGTGGCCAACTCCACAATCGCGGCAGCGCAATAGCTTAGCGGGAATGAGCTTGAATTCAGGTGCGGCTTCAGTTTCCCAAGCTGTCTGAACCGAGGCGGTTCACAAGCCCGACCTCGTCTTTGGTGCGTGCGGTAAGAAGGATACTGCGTTCACGCCCTGCTGCAGTTCGGCGAGCTGCCTGAATTTTAGCGGGTCGTAAACTCGATGTTGTCTTCGTCCGCGCGGCAAAAAGAAGGTCGAGTTCACGCCCAATCTGGAGGAAGGAGGTCGAGTTCACGTCTTACGGCCGTTCAGCGAGAGGTCAGACTTGCGGCGTGTCGTGAATATTACCTCGTCTTCGCCCGCGCGGTAAGAAGGGGCATTGGGGCGGCCGCAGACTCGACTCCGTCTTCGTCCCCGCAGTAGTATGGTTCAGCCGGGTTGTCCCCCTACAGGGGAAATATACCAAACTAGTCCAAAAATAGTCTGCGGATTTTTTTTGTACTTTGGAGCACTTCTTGAGCATGTTGTGCATATTTTTCATCTGTCATCCAAGATCCCCGCTGTGGAGGGACACGCCCGACCTAATAGTATGGAGGTCGAGTCCACGCCCCGCGGCAATTCAGCGAGGCGCATAGGCCCCTTGTGAACATGGTCCGTCTTTGGGGCTTCTTGGCCCGTCGTGATGCCATCTTGGGGGGCCCTTGGAGCGTCGAAAGGCCTTCTTGGGCAGTGCTGGGACCGCCTTAGAGGCCTTTTTGGCCGCCTTCGGGCGAGACTTGCTGTCTTGGGCCGGTCTTTGCCGGTGTTGGATGTGTTGAAGCGTCGCGTCATGTTGTTTGCAATGTTTGTTGTGTTTTGACATTGCGTAGGCTGTGTTTAAGTGGTGTTGCTGTTTCTGGCTGTTCTGACCCAGCCTCAGTGAGGGGGGACCGTCCTGGGGGGGGCATTTGTTTTGAATGCGTAGACCCTCCTCGGGGGGCTTGTTTTGACTCTCCATGGGGGGCTCTTGTTGTCGGTCTATGTCCTTCTTATGTGTATTATGATGAGGAAATTTCCCAACGTCAGCTCTGGAGAGGGAGGCGAGGTTTAAGGACGGTTGTGAGCAGGGGGGGGTCCGCCTTCGGAAACACGACAGAAGCCTTACCAGACAACAGAGGAGCATTCTAACATGCCCAATCCGGGCAGGCAGGGTGACAGAACTCGATGGGAGGCGGGAGAGCGTAAGGCCATTCATGTTCCGCGGCCTTCAGAAAACAGGTGTCCTGCAGAGCTTCAGAATGGTTGGCACTGTAAACGCCCTCGCGTCGACAGTCCTACACCTCGTTCGACTGGTAGGCCCTGGTGCTCGCGATGTGTCAGGCCAGTGGCCAAGGTGCCGTCGAGTGGGAGATCTTCGGGGCAGGGGGGGCAGCGCCCTGCCTCCTGCCCCCTGTTCGCCTCCCGTCACGGTGGCCTTGGGTCAGTCGGCGGACACCGCCCGCAGAAGACACGGCCATCATAGCGCTCGGTACCTCCTCCGCGGCCCCCGATGGTCCTGCAGGCGGGGTAGTTGACAATTTGAACATGATGTTCAAATTGTCAACGAGAGGCGGAGCCAAACCATGGAGAACGGTTTCGTGATCAGCTGGATCACGCGGGTTGTGCAGAGACCCCATCCTCCTGATCTTGGTCCTCTTGTTGCTGCTACTGCTCTTCCGCATCATCATACTCTTTAGGCTCACGCCACATCCGCCGACCCCCTGAACCTGTCACGGCGTTCATTTTGGGCTACGCAGCCAGTCTAGGGGGCCATTGCGGCGGGCCCCGAATCCTCGGAAGTAAGCCCGCGTGGGTGTTGGCGATGGATCGGTCGACGGCTCGTGACTCATGGGGAGAGGCGCGAGAACCCACGTATACAGACGGCGGGTATCTGGCAAAATATCCACAGCCTGCCACCGAGCTTGGGTGGCTGGTCGGAGGCCACTCGGACGGCTGATGGGGTTTCGTGGGAGGCTTTTCGGGGGCGTCTTGGAGGCAGTTGTCGAACCTCTAGGGGGCCTCCTGGAGGCCTCTTGAGGGCGTATTGCGGCCATCTTGGAACTCCTGGAGGCCTCATGGGGGGCTTCTTGGGGCAACCCGGAGGCGTCTTGGGGCCGAAGACTCGAACTGTCCGTTCGGGTTCCCCCTCTGGGCTCCCTCTAGGGGCTGTCCTGGGGCTCTCTTGGGCTGTAGTGGGAGCTTCGTGGGCCGTTTGGGGGCCCTCTCGGGACGTCTTTGAGCCTTCTTGGGGGCCTCTTGGCCCGTCCTGGGGCGATCTTCACGGCCTCTTGGGCCGTCTGGGACGTTGTGAACGCCCAAGAGGCGATTGTGCTGACAATGCACGTTTTCCTCAGGGAATGGGACGACTTTTGCTTCTGGAGACCCTCTAGGGACGCCTCTTGGGGGCTTCTGGGGGGTGTCCGGGGGGCCTCCTGGGCCGTCTGGAGGCCAGCGTGGGCGTTTTGGGTCGCTCCGTGGGCGACTGGTGGCCCTCGTGGACCGCCCCAAGGGCCTTTTGGGGCTCTCTTGGCCTCAATTGGGGGCCCTCTGCCTCCCCGGATGCGCTCACCCGGATCACGAGGGGCCCCTCCCCCTCTCCGAGTCGACCGGACTGGGCCCCCCGGGGGGGGGGGGGATTCCGGGAGGGGGGAAACATGTCACACGCCGGCGGACCCCAAGGGGTCGGTGGATCTGGCCCGCTGCCCAGGGATGGCTGGCGCCCATGGGTCGAGCCGCCTGCTCCGGGCCTGCGCCGCGGCTCGTGCGGCTCGGTTCCCCGCCCCCGACCGTCCCGGCAGTCGCACAGGCCTACTGCGGCATGTCCTTCGAACAGAGAAATGTTCGAGAAACCATGCTCTCAAAACATGAAGCCGGTAGATTACAACAAGACGGCCCCAGCCACACATGTTCTAAGAGCACATCCGCGCAAGCCAGGGAAGAGGTTCTGAGAACCTTAGTTGGTGCTGGGTGTGCCTTCGCGGAGACCTCTGTGGACCTCCGCGGCCCTATCATGCACATGACCTCGACCGGATTTCGTCCAGATTTCGACCAACCCTGGGCACCCTTCTCGCCCAGATGTCGACCAAAGCCGACGAGATCGGGAACCCCCAAAACGCAGGAAGTCTTGGGACCCGCGGAGGCCCCCATGAAGGACCACGCACTCGGGCGGGCCCGTGGGCACGCCAGGACGCCTCGCCACTGCTTGACCGCTGGCCCCCCGCCGCTCCCGCCGCTCCTTCGGGCCCGCCTGCGCCCCGTGGCCCTTGGAATCAAAACTTCCCAGGTCCGCCACCGTGCCCTCGGGCACGAGTTTTAAGTCGGACACGTCCTTCCGCAGGAGGAGCACTCAAAAATAGTAAAAAACAGTTTGGGGACGATCTTGCAATATGATTAGTGCCTGCACGTGAAGGCTCTAGAGAGTGGGAGAGCGCCGCTGCCCGTCCGGGCTCAAGCTTCGAGGCAGGAGTTCTTCGCTGGGGTTTCCTGCCCTCCCGTCCTTGCAGCCCTCCAGTCAGTTGCCATCCGCGGGCTGGAGTTGGCGGCGCTGCGCCAGGCGGTGATTTCGACGGTGCAGAGCTGCCCTCCTGTGTCGCTGGCATGCCCGCGGGCGAACATTTCCTGCCCCGCGCCCTTCTGCCCAGCGCCCATGTGCACGGCGCCGCTGGTCACCGTGAGCTGCCCTCCTTGCGAGGGCGTGACGGGCCTCGCGGTGGGGCGAGCATGGACCGAGGAAAAGGTGTCTTTCGGCATCCTCGGCGCGGTCCCAGGCGCGGTGGTCACCGCAGCTGCTCACCGTCAGAGGCGTGGCTCGTCGGAGGTGGAGTCGGTCGAGGCGCGTGCGAGGCAGCAGGTGGCTCTGTTGGGGCTCCGCAGTGGCGCAGCCAAGTGAGTACATCTGGATCATATACGATCTGCCAGGGCCGCCTATCTTCCACGAGCGTCTGGTCACCGCGGTCAGTGTGGCCTTGCCTGCGCTCGTCTCGACGCTGACGGAAGACGGAGATGATTGCGCTGAGGATACTCGCTGTGATGATGTGGCGGAGGTGCGCTGGTCAGGGACTCAGGGCTCCACCCCGCCTGGCGTCGAGCCCAGGCAGGTGCACCGTTTCAGGCAGTTGCCGACCGCGGCCGAGCTCGAGCAGCTCCAGCGCGACGGCGCCCTGATGGTGGGCGGAGTCGCGCCAGCCGCCGCGGGGGCCGCAGGCGGCGCTGGCCCAGGTGCTCCTCCTCAGCCCTCGGCTCCGCCCCCGCGCCAGGGAGGAGAGGCGGGCGTGGTGGCCCGCGCGGGTGCCCATGCCGCCGCCCCGGTGGTCGCGCACTCGGTCTGGCTCGCCACGGGGGACTTTCGCGGGCTCAGGCGTGGCGAGAGGCTGCCAGACTCGCTCGTGATCGAGGGCGATTCGGCGCTGTTGTCTGTCGCAGGTGGTTTCGCGACGGCCAGGCTGGAGCCCGCCGGCGAGATCGATGCGTTCGCGATCAACGATCTCCGCGCGCCCCCAGTGAAGTTCAGCCAGGAGGGCCCACGCCGTCGTCCTTTCACGGGGGCGGTGGACGTTCAGGTGGGGGGCGAGCCCGAAGGCGGGCTCATGCTGGATGGGCCGCCCTCCTGCCTCTGGCTGCCCCGCTCGCGGCGAGATCGGCGCCACCCCAACACACTTATACCACGTGTGCGCCGCCCGTCCAGGGGCGACGCGCGCGCCGAGAAATCTTACAGCATATGCGTATTGGCGGGCGCTTTCTGGCCACGCCGCTCGGGAAACGATATACTACAAGATGGGCTGCTATATGTTCGGGTCGGACGCGCGCCTCCAAGGAGAACGTATAGCATTAGCATGTGTTTGCGCGTCCCACGAGATGCTGGGCTCGCGCCCGTCACGCACCAGGCGAACAGGCTCGGGGCAGGCCGCGCCCCCGACGGGGGCCGTTCGATTCACGAGCACGAGGCGGTATGCAGGGTGATCGAGCCCAGGGTCGGCGTGGACCAGCTCGACGCCCCCGCGCTGCAGAGCGCCGAGCTCCTCTGCCGCCGCCTGCAGGTGATCGAGGGCGCCCGCGCGGTCTCGCCCTCGGCGCCAGACTACTCGGCGGCGGACGAGTACGCGGGCTGGGCGCCCCATCGCGGGGGAGCAGCGGCGGCGCCTCAGCTGCAGAAGCACGCGGCGGCCAACCTTCGCGACAAGGCCGCGGTGCTCAAGGAGGCTAAGAAGGTGAAGGAGGAGCAGAAGCTGCGCCGCGGCCCCAAGGGCGGCGGCGGCAAGGGTGGCCCCGCCCACGCAGGGGGGCCCGGGCAATGACTGCCTCGCGCCACGGGAGTCGGCCGACCCGCCGCAGCCTTCAGGCCGACAGCGGACACGTCCCTCGACGCTCGACGTCGGCCCCCATAGTAGCTCCTCCTCTCCAGGCTTCGGCAGATCGCCAGCGCGATCTCCCCCCGCTGCCGCACTTTCAGCCGACGCAGCCGACCAAGGGGTGAGTCTCGATTTCTACGAGGAGGAGGCTGGCTCACAGGCGTCGCCCGGATCAACTCGCCAATGACGCGACTGCAGGCCCCAAGGCGCCCCACCCGCCGCGCGAGCAGCGCGGAGGGGCCACGGCGGCACACTGTCTTGTTGCTGCCACAGTTTTGCATCGGGTCAAGACGGCGCCCTCGCCTTCGGTCCGCTGCACCTGCCGTGGAGCCGCCAAGTAGTTCCTGGCCAACAGCCTGTCCTACGCCGGGGACGAGGCACCGAGCCCCGCGGCGAAGCACGTCAGATCCCGCGCCGAGATCCCAGATGTGGATGCGGCCGCGCCTGCGGCCGAGACGGTGCCCGACCCAACCGGGAAGGAATGCGCGCTGGACTACGAGAGCAGGAAGATGAAGACGCCAGACGAGCGGTCGAGGGCCCTCGATTCGGAGCCGCCCATCACCACGTACATGGATGAGGTTTTGAAGAACGATCATGCCGCCTACCACCCGTTCATCTCGGACCTGGCGCGAGCGAACACGTCGGGCTTCACCTGCCGCCCAAAGGATCTGGCGATGCCGTTCTCCGCCAGCAAGAAGAGCGGGGCCCAGGGGTCGGTCTGGGACGCGCGAGTGCCGAACAGGCGGTTCCGCTCGCCGCCGCCCCCGCCGATGGGGACACCCGCTGCCCACAGAACATCGACGTCGTCGGCGCCGACCCAGTTCGCTGCAACAATATCCTGAATGCCATGTGCACCCAGCGGAAGCGCCATGGAGTTCTCATTCATGAGGAGGTGGAGGCTACAGACCGCCACCAGCCTTGGCCGAGCGCACCGAGCGCCCAAGTCAGGCCTCGCTCTGGCTGGAGCAGCGGCCGCGTGTCGCTGGGAGGGAGGTGGAACGGTTCATTGGACATATGATAGATCAAATCATGTGGAGGAGGGATATGTTATGTATTCTCAGAAACTTGTACGATTTCGTAAGAGACTGTTACAGCAGGCGCGCCCGTCTCCGGCCGTCAGCTGAATGCGAAGTCTCGCAGTTCCGTCGCCTGCTTCCGCTCGCGGCGGCCGACCTCAGGCTGCCGCGGGGCCCCGTGGTCACAGCGCACGACGCCTGTCTCGCAGGGATGGCCGCTCGCGAAACAGTCCTTCCGCTTTTGCCTGTCAAGAATGTTGGATCAGTCAGTGAGAGATGGAGATGTTAATGTCGGACGTCTTCGGCGGTTCAAGCACGTCAGTCCTCTGTGGGCCCAGGAGGTGGTCTCCACCATGCTGACGAGGAGCCCCAGTTGGACGCATTCAAGGACACCTCCACCACGAAGGCCCCGAGGATCTCCGACGGGGGCCACCTGTGGGGCCCCTGGGAGCTCAACCGCGGCTTCAACGAGGCCCCTCTTGAGGCTCTTCGGGGCGGCGCATGGAAGCAGGTTGCCTCGGCCAGGGCTCACGCCATGGAGCCCGTCGCTATTGCCGACGGGGGGGGCCGCCAACATGACCCTCAGGCGCACTTTGAGGAATCGGGCCTTTTTGGGGGGATGCGCCCTCACAAGCTGGGCGGTAATTGTTGGACTGCGCTGGCTTTGGGACTTGGAAAGTGCGCCGCTTATGCGCCTCTAATATGTTGCCGTCGCGAGGCCGCTCTATCCGTTGATAGTGGTTCGAAGCCCGAGCACCGTTGGACCCCCTCAGAGCTCAACGCGGCCGATGGGGGTTCGCGCCGCTGGGGGCCGAGGTCGAGCCGTAAGCCGCCTCGGCCTGGCAGCGCGGAAGAGGCCGGCAGCTGGCCGTTGTTTGGCGAGGAAGGACTTCCTGGAGTGCCGACCCTTCATCGGCGCCTCCAGGGCGGAGAGGAGCGCGAGGCGCCAGGAGACCTCAGGCCCTTGCCACTTGCTGGGGCCCGACGAGAGAGGCTTCCTGGAGTGGAACGCGGTGGCCCCGCAGACCCAGCGCAACTACCAAGAGGCCCTGGCGGAGTTCCAGAGTTCCGCAGGTGCTCGCAGCCTCCCGCTCGCGACCGCCGCGGACGCCGACTTGGCGCTGACGAACTGCGCCGACTTCGCCTGGGGCACAGGGCTCGAGAGGGCCGTTCTGCTGAAGACCTATGCCGCGTTAATCTCGGAGCGCCCAAACATCCCCCGAAAGGGGTCGCTCCGCTTGCCTCGATTTTCGAGGGCGCCCCAGGGCTGGAAGCGCCTCGATCCAGGGCAGACGCGGCCGCCAATCCCCTGGCAGGTCACGGCGCTGCTGGCCAGCGCGATCTCGACCTCGCGGCCCCGGAGGTGGCGATCATGATAGTGGTGATGTTCTGGGCCTACTTCAGGCCAAGCGAGGCCCTCGGCCACCAAGAGCAGGACGTCTTCCCCCCAGCGGCTCGCGCAAGCACTACGGTTCCAACCTGCACCCCTCGGTCCGAGAGGGCCTCGCGGACGAGAGCATCCTCCTGGATTCGGTCGAGGCCCCGTGGCTGGGCCCGCTGGCGGCGAGGTGCCGCACCGCCGCCCCGACGATGCTGCCCTTCGGCTCGAACGCCCGGGAGTTTGGGCGGCCCTGGCGGCGCGCGCTGCAGCTCGCGCGCCCGGGGCGGCACTCCCGCTTATTCCAACACCTACGAGCCCAATGCATTGGAGAGGGTGGAGCTTACCAACACGCATGTATCTGACTAAACTCCTCTTATCCACATCTGTTACTACTCCTAGCTCTACGCGTTCTTCATCATTGTTTTCTTCATTATCGGTTTGGGTTTTTTTTTTTACATTCGTTGCGATATGCCAGCATTTGCTTTCAACATGGTGCTCCCGTTTTCGATGGTCAGCATATGAAGTATGTCATCGCATATTTTTAGTGCGCTCCAGATGCGCAAGGCAACTTGCCATATTTTTTGCACGCTTAACATATGCCCGTGCGCAAGGCAGCTTGCCTGGAGACACCCGCCAGTTACGACGACACGCACTTTTCTGCTGCAGCGTGGAAACACGCCTTCTGTATGGCAGTATGCTTCTTTTGCTACAGCGTGGAAGCGCGCCCTCTGCATGGCAACATGCTTCGTCTGCTACAGTGTGGAAGCGCGCTTGCAGCATGGAAACGTGCATTTACTACCGGCAGCGCGTGCAGACTGCGCAGACACACACACACACACACACACACACACACACACACGCGCGCCAGCATGTGCAGACTGTGCAGACACACGCACACACACAGCTGCGTGTGCAGACTGTGCCGACTCACTACCATCATCGAGTGCTGACTTTGCCGACTGACCGCTACTCAGGCGTGGCTAGGATCTTCTGGACATGATGGCCGTTTGGCGGAAATGTGTTGGTCGTAGATCCGCGCAGCGGAAGGCTAATTCCTCGTTCGTGTATCTCTCTCGACCACCACGTGCTATAAGCCAAAACAACCACATGTCCAGGCTAGACAAGCCAGGAAACTGGCACATCCAGGCATGCCAGGAAACTGGCCTCTAGGCTACAGGCTGTATGGTAGACCGTCGGCAGAGGGTAAACTTTTGCAAACCGCACGTACGAACGACCTGATGCGCTGCAGCTCAGACGCTCGTAGCGCATAATTTAGCATGTTTCGGCATCGCGGCCCAGATCCGCAAGCCTCTCAACAAAGCAAAGAGCCCGTGCACTGGGGTGCTCGCCGTGTGCGACGTTTACTGCGTGAGGTTAGTAAGCCCTGTGGCAGCGTGGCGACACGCCCTAAAGCGAAGCAACTCGCCACAACACATGCTGGAAGGCTAGGCAGCCATACATGGTCAAGATCGTCAGCTACTAGTTCGATGGCGGCTATACTTCCGACTTGTGGCGAGTATAGCCACACACGGCTACTATGCTTTCAACACCTCGGAAGTCGTCTTCTTCTTCCTTGTTCAATTCACAGCGACTGTCCAGCCCACTTCGACACTCCACAGCAATGCGCCAACTCACACCATCTACACCCACAGATATAGTGCGCATTGATACAATAATATATAAAAATGTTGGGGTAGTATGGTTTGGTATTGGAACCGCAGTGGAATACACGTTGCGTCACAGGTGTGGTGACCCTGGACAGGTGTCCGGTCCTCGACGGCAGCAGCAGCTACTGCAGGGCAACTTGCTGGGCCACTACAGTGCTTACGGCAAGGCAATTTGCCTTGGGACTCGGTAGAGCTGGACATTTGCCACGAGCAACGCACGACGACTTCTACCACGACAACAGAGGCACTGGTGCGACACAACACTTCGGCAGACGAAGCTGCAGCCATGACGCGTCAAACGCACCAGCAACAACCGCGACAGCAGCAAAACGCGGCACTACAACAACACTAGGCGACAGACTCTCGGCCGCTTTCCTTTCCGCAACCAAAACTCCTCCCGCTCTCTCCTCACCCCAACTCTCCTCATGAAGGAGGGAGGGTAGGAGGAGATCCGCTCAGCAACGGGCAACCGCGGCAAGAGTGAAGTCACTGCTGGTGCGACAACGGGAATCCCTCTCCTGGCGGGCGCATGACAGTTCGAGGACGGCGCCGCCACAGGCGTCTGCGAAGATAATTGCGCCCAGGAGAAAGGAGGACGAGGAGGCTCTACTTCTCATCCCTATCCATACTTCTCCTCCCCTCGAAGCCGCCACACGACTCAAAGCCACTACCAGCACCTCAAGCTCATAAGCTCTTTCAGTGTGGCTAGGCAACTTGGTTCTATAGAATAGAGGAGGGGAGGAATTATTGAACCAGATATCGTACGAGTTTCCACGATATCTGCGTGACCGACTTCGCGGAGTGAGACTTTGGCTCGGCGACGAGCATGTATAGTTTAGGTGCACAGAAGCGCAGTCATGACATCAGCACGGCAATGAGCACTCGCCCGCCAAGCGACAATTCGACCCAACCTTCATCCACAACAAAATGTACGACTACACCAGTTGCTGTGCCAGGCCAGATGTCCTGGCTCTCCGAGTTGCCAAGTAGGTCTGGCCGGCGCCCGGCTGGTACAACCACAGCCGCCTCAACATCAACTTGACCCTCAAAGATCAAACATACGACCACACTGCTATCGGGCTTCGGGGTTACAGGATGCGTTTGAGTGTGGCTGTGCAGTGCATGGTGGATCGACGGGTTGGGATATAGGTTATATATCCTATGACGTCGCCCCCGAATTTGCCATGGCAACAACAGCAAGGCCAAACCGTATGTATGACCTGGCACAGGGCGACGACCAAGCGTGGCGACACGCCCCAACGTAGCGATCCTCGTCAGCATGGCGACACGCCTCAGCGTGGCGACACGCAAACCAGACAAGCTTGCTGGAATATTGGGGACCTACGCTGGTACGTGGAAACATGCTCATTCAAGGCAACAGTGCGTATCGCACCCTCTGTTCACGCCCAACAGCACCGTCGGGCATACGCACGCTTCTATGTTATATCACTTACTGCAGTACACGAACATTGGGACTACGACATTGACTGAGCACGTATACATATGTCGTGTACATGTTTTACGTCGCAAGACATACGTTCAACACATTTTCGTTGCACGTACACTACTACAGCATGATCGGCGATATCTTCACGACATACCACTTACTAATCCGAATGCGAACGCACGGACACGTTCCTTACGCAGTATTGTGATACCGTGGAAGCATAATTGTGGTTGACAACGCAGCAGTTTGCAACTACGCAGAAACCTGCACATGCAATACCGACTATGAGGTACGGCCAACAACCTGTACGGTACAAAGCCATACGGCTGGCGGGTAGATACCAACGTGGAGGGGCGCCAGCAGGGCGACCTGCATAGCAGGGCGACCTGCGTCACCTATCCATGCACGGCCAGTGGCCATCACTACGTGTACACTTGCGTAATAACAACACCGAAGGGTAAAAGCTACGCTACCACAGCCTTACATGTGGAGACTGCCACAGACGGCGACATCATAGATGTTCGTATTTCTCCCTCCCCGATTCGGCTGTGGAATGGGTGTGACGACACCCATTATGACGCACCTACGTTTACCGAAAATCGTATGCCCGAGGCGCACCACGCTTCCTACGGCTACAACGTGGAAGTGTGTGTGTAGCTACATTACGCCTCCGCCGACCACTACAGCGACTACGCGCTTCCGCCGTCTACTATTCGGTGGCGATTGGGCGGTTAAGCAGCTTCGGCTTGGCAGCGAGCCTTAGCCAAACAGCTTTTGCTCGGCAGCGAGCCTTTGCCTACTAACATTCAGCTGTGTGCGTGTGGCTACTTAGCTGCAGCTTCCTGTCACGGACGGCTACACAGGTGGCGGACGCTGCAGCTCTTACAGTTGGGTGCTCGGAAACGATCTGTCGTACATGTGGCAATGGGACCGACGAAGCTCGGCGACGAGCCTCAACTACGTGAGCAGTTCCCTTGAATAATAATATACCTATAAATGCCCAGCTCAAGGAAACGACGCACTCGAGGAGGACGAGCTCGAACACACGAGCGGGCCCCATAGCAAAAGCGATCGACACGAAAGGAGACCCTGACGCCAGACACGCTTCCCGAGTCACGTCTACGTCACACTGTTGCGCATGATTTGCGGTGGCCTGTGTGCGACCGATGTTGACAACTCGACTTCATCAACGCTGCAGGCGACGCAACGGCCACTACTAGCTGCACGCTGCGACAAGCACTACACCGAACCGGCAACACGCAAGAAACCACCGCGACTAGAAGCACAACCATAACCATCGTAACGATGACAAATACCGTCACCTCGACCATCACCTCGACCAGCACGGCACGGCTCAGAGGTGCCCTACGAGGTCGGCAGCAAGGGCAGAGGGCGGAAGCTCAGTCAAAGCATCCTCAGAGGCAACTCGCCGAGGATGATTCTGACACAGAAACCCCCGTAGTGACCTAATCCTACAGCCTTTCTGCCATGCATCGTCATGACCAACATCATGCTACGCCCGTTGGTACACACATCTCGTTACGTTGTGATCTTGACCGTGAGATTTTAGATCAAGGAGAGATGATAGAGACTCTGGGGCTACCCCGGGCGCTGAGACTGGCTGGTCCGGCGCCACGTCCCCGTCAAGGGTACGTGGCTGGCAGTGTGAATGTTTGCCCCGGGCTGCGGGGCCGACGACGACACTCACATGACGATGACGGACGTGTTCATTGACTTTTACTACATGAGGTCAGACTGCATTACGTTATGTTTTCTACATCTCAATGGATTGGTATACAACGGGAGCTTCAGTAACACAGTCATTGCGACGACTATGGCTCTCATGCGTTGTTACCACAACATCAGCCATTGATACGCGTGCGAAACGGTACTCACGGCGCCTCGCACCTCAGTCAAATATGTCATTCGGACATTCGACACGTCTTTCGCGTCTGAATAACAGCGGGATGCTGCGGTAGCAATGGGCCCCTGGTCTACCATGGCATTATCGCGTACGGGTTTCGGTTGCAGGCCCGTGCGCAGGCGGCGGTGCTCATTGGCCCATGCGGGCTGATAGGCACCGCACAACCCAACCACTATTCAGTTACGCGTGCGGGTTGGACGGGTCTGCGTGAAGGCGTACCACGAGCAGCTGTCCGAGTTGGACTACGCGCGGAAACGCGCCAACCACTGCACGGTATGAGCTCATCGGACGCGCAGCAACGCACAACAGTAGAGCTCAGAATATCCTT